ATAGGTACATTATTTCAAATGATTGAGATTTATCTGACAAATGAAAATATTTACCTGCAATAACCATAAAGGTGAAAGGTGACCCATGTATTTGCCTTTTCAGAATAGATATAGACAGGTGATGAAGACCAGGCTGCTCCATACAAGCTTCCAAGATAATCATCCTCTTCTCATCCAAGTTGTTTTCTATCACCATCACTTCTACCATATCACCAGGTGTCTCCAGAGTTGCTTCAACGTCTTCTTTTCTTGCTCTTACTTGATTTCCTCTGCTCAATATTGTAAGCTGCAATGTGATGGTTTTACCCTTTCTAACAGTATGGGGGATATTGCTGATTTGATATGTGAAGAAAACAATTTCCCCTATTGTTCCCGTTTTGTAAAAATTCATGGTTTGTTCAAACTTCATAAATTGATCTTTGTACACCAACAGCTCTTGACGTTTTGCTAATGATCTTTGTATTGCAGAAGTCATTTCTTCCTTATAAGACAATAAATGACCGGGGCTACCATAGCGTACCAGACCTTCAGCATATTTACGTAGTTGAATAATTCCTCTTGTGTGAAAGTCAATTTGTGTAATTTTCTGGTCCAACTTACCACGTTGGGACACATATTCGTCTTTCAATTTATTTCTGATTTGTTGACAGTTGTTGTGAATTTTATCTTTGAATTCTTCAATCACTTTAGAAGCAACATTGCTAATGTTCTTTTCTTGTTCTTGAAATTCGCTTAACAATGAATCTATCACACGCTCAATGGACTGCTTAAAATTGATGTTTTTTTGTTCATTCTCTTTGATTTGCTCTATCAACACTCCGAGATCTTGGCGTATTTCAGAGGTGGTGTCTTTCAAATACCGTTGTTTATGGCCATGATGGTCAGCCGAAAAGCATTCAGAACATAATTGCACCTTGCATGAACAACAGTAAAACTTTATTTGCACATCTGGATGTTTTGAACAATATTCCGGACTTTGCACTGTAACAGGATCTGTGATCTTTGCCCTGTGGTACGTTTGTAGGGTCATCAACCTATGTGCTTTGGTCGGTGGAAATACAGAGTGCCCGTTCACACAGACACGACATATATTTACTGCGCAATCTATGCATCTGTTTGTTGCGGCATTTCTGCAGACATCACAACTCTGTTCTAGCACATTCATTTGTGAGTGTCTCAATCAGGTCATTTAAAAATAGGTTAGCTGGTAGCGCACTTACGTTTCCAATTGGAATGTCATGTTTACGCCCACACAAAAAGCACGTAATACGTGTTGCATTGTCAGCAACGCTGACTAAACACTTTTCACAGAAACTATGTTGACACGGTAGTAATTTAGCGTTCTTGTATCTACTATTACACACACTGCAATTCAGTAATACGTCATCACAATCCTTGGAAAAGAATCCTGGCAATGTTGTAGCTTCCATTTGTATTTGCCTGTGTAGCTTGGTGATACTGAACAATTGTGCTGTACAACGCAAATGACCTTATTTTTGATTGACCTCTTGTAAGTAGCCCCAAGTCATATATGACACAAGCAATTTGATTGGTTCCCTAAAATGCATGTATGACTGATCGATAAATTATGATTAAAGACAGCAAAGAAAGTAGATGGTACAGGGTGATGCATGTGTACACGTTATCTACTGTTTAATGTAATCATTGTTGGGCACTCATCCACATGTAATGAAGTTGTTTATGACGCTATTAGGATAAATCCCTCGGAGCCTGGACATCTCACTCTGCCGGCTTCCAGCAAATCAAAGGTGTTTCTTTCCGAATTAGGGACAATATGGTGTAATGCCCAAGAATTTCAGTATGCTCTAATTTAAATCTAAAACTAACCAGGCATTGTAACCACGTCTTGTAAAAATGGAATAATTGGTTTTGAGATATCTGTGCAAACATGGTGATTAGTATGCAAGGATTATAATCACAAACTAATAAGGTATGGGGCATTGTACCAAGTTACATTAGAATGTGATGTTCAGTTTTTGAGATGATAGGAAGCTGCAATTAGACAATTAGAACACTGTCAAGTTATCCGTAATCCAAGTTCGACATGTGGTAGAAAAATTCTACTGACTGAGGCTTGGCAAACACCAAGTTTGGTAATACGGTAAGTGGCCAGATTGTGCTCCAGGAGATGGACTGGAGCACGGTGTTTGTCTGACGAAGCCTTGTAACAATTTGAGCATGCGATAGGCTGTAGGCGTGAAGATGGCAGATCCGCCCTGTAAGAGATTATCAACAACTCTGGGTCACGAGGTAACGCCTTCATTTATAGAAGCAGTGGTTTTTGACAGTTTCTCGAATGGCGACATTACCAGTGCAAATATAGGGAAAAGGTTTGTTCCAACTGTTGTCAGAGCATCCAAAACCAGCACAGACCGGCAGAAGGGTGTATCACAAGCTTGATGTTTGCCAAACTATAATTCAACAGCAACATGTAATGAGAATTGTTAATGAAGTCAGAGACAGTGTGTCAGTGAAGGTTTGTTCATCCCCCCTGATGTGTCTGAACTCAAGTGGGATGTTATGTAGAAAACTCGAACAGCTTTTCTGCAAGGTTGCTGAGCGATGATCAAATTCCTCCTTTGACCCTCCAAAGATGGTTAAGAACGGGAAGGGGGTATTCCAACAAACCAGTGTTCAGATATGGTCCACTACAGCACTCATCAGACAGTCTGACTGGCAAGTGCAAAAATGTCACATTACCAAGAAAAATAGGCCTACTGCACTACCTGAGATACCTGGCTTGTTCCAACATTTGTCCAGGATGCTGAAGACAATGTCAACAATGTCCATCCAAGGTTAGTCAGATCTTAGAAAAAGTTTGTGACTGGGTGTACAGGTATGTGCAGGTACAAATCTAGAGCCAACAGAAAGTTGATAGTCTACATGATAGGTCATGTGATATTGATATGTTGTGTACACAGGAACCATACAAGATGGAAACACTAATAAGGGGTTCATAATGAATGCATTTACCAATCATGACATCCGATGTGATTAAAATCTGATGTATTGTACGACATGCATTTTATTTTCTATATTTCTTTTACTTTTATTGCAACAAAGGATGCAATAATGAAAGTGACAACGGTATATTATAGTAGAAAATACACACTAATGTTTGCTCAACTCGGGCTGCGACAATACGAATTTGTATATATGGTACTCCCACTGACCAACATTGCCAGGTAAGCTGGGGTTCGTAGCCCAAAAACCCTATTTGTCGAGTTTTTAATGGTTGGTGCCCACCAATTTGGTCGATGTGCTTAGTTCTTGGGTATATAAAAATAGTAAATATATATAATTTGCCATTAATGAAGTTAGTGGTTCAGTAATGAATAAGTTAATTAAAATTTAATTAGGAAAACTACATTGATAATTGCTGCTGTAACTATAATTGCTATGTCTTTATGACGTTTTGTATATCATATTCATGCCAATTTTTAACAAAGTTGGCGGCACATCTGAATCAAAGAAAGCTTAGAAAGAACTCCTGTTTGCTGAGAGTATTGGAGACACATTAAGATTTGCATTTCAAACGAGAAGCTTAGTAACTAATATTTGTCTGCTATTTGCGATGCACAACATGAAAACAATGTGATTTACATTATCAAAATTTTATTTACTTGATAATTCAAGAGCACCTCTGTGATGAATTAAATTTAAATCTGATTTTTTCAGACATCAGAAATTAGCTAATAATAGACAATATGCATATTTATAAACATTAAACTAACCACGTATGTAGACTACCTCAATGAACCAAATGAATTAGGCAATTATTATGCATATATTTAGGTCTGTGTGTTGTTTCAGGGCGCACATGTACAAAGTTTCATTATGTGATGATTATATTAGTGGAAAGCTGAATAGTAAATTATGCAAATTAGATAATTATTATAGATGTATATAAACCTAAAACTAATTAGATCATCACATTATGTTAGAATATATATGTACCAAGATTCAGTGAATTTAAGTACTATCACAACCCATCTATGTATGGGTTTCAATGAAATGTGATCAGAATTATTATGCAAATTAGGTAATTAATATGCACTGATTTTAACCCAAAACTCAGCAGGTCTCTGCATTGTTCTAAAGCACCTATGTACAGAGTTTCATTAAAAAGTAATGATGTGATTGTACTTGAAATATCAAAAGCTACAGACAGGCTAACTGCAAACATCATTGTGTGCTTTGCACACGGGAGACAAAAGTCACATGATATGGCATACAAATTAACATACATACAAATTAAGGCAAGACAAAAGTTGTATTGACAAATTTACTATATTAATTTGAAGAAAAAAAACAATTCATTAATTATTTAGTATTAGTAGTCTTCGCACAACTTAATTTTAGCTTTATTTTAGTGTTATAAACATAACAAAATCTTCCCATTACACTAAAACTCCAATAAAATTTGATATTATAAACTATAGGTTAAAGCAAAATATCAATTTATCAAGAAATAGACATAAAGCAGTAAGTGACGAATGAAATGACATAATTTAAGAATACGTTAATTTTCTTTAGAATTGATCCTAATATTCCAGAGGCATGCTCGTCTTTCACCTTTCTTCTTGGTCATTCACATATCGGTCTGTGTCAACTGAAAGATACAACAGTAAAAGTACTTTAATTAAGCATTAAAACATAGAAATCATAACCTTGTTATTATGTCAATCTGGTGACAAACACTGAGTCTGTACTAACCGGAATAGTCTGAAATACTTTGAAAAGTTACACTGGCCATATTATACCTGACTGTTTACACAAACCTAACCTAATGAGGTAATTACTTAAGATCAAAGCATCTTCAATTACATACTGACCTTCTTCAATTACCTCTTGTAAGGCTTCTGCTAAATGTGGGTCACATGATCTGATTATATCATCTAAAGGTTTGTTTGGTGCACCAGCAATTGTAGAACTGGATTCTGAAATATGAATAAAGTTGAATTTAGATAATGAAGTAACTAATTAAATACAAGGTTCAGTTCAGTTCGAAGGGATATACACTTCAATTGTAATGCTAACGCAAGAATTGCACGATTTCTTACAATATGATGACATTGAAAGCCCTAATATAGTAGGCAGTTAAAAAAGTCTCAAACCATGTATGGTTGTGATAGGTACATGAAGTAAATATCAATTGAGCATGGCTACTTCTCATTATTCAAATTATCACAGAGATGATCTATTTTCC